CTCTCTCTCTCTCTCTCTATATATATATATACATACAAAATACAATTGTACCACATCGTGTAAAAAAAATAAAAAAAGAAGACTGAGCTTGAATCAGAGTGGGAAAACATTTTATGCCTATTCCAAATCCAAACAGGCAAAAGCGCCATCACGTTCACCTTGTAAAACAAAATATATAATAACATATCAACACTCTAAACTCTCCATCCAGCACATTTTATGCCTTTTCTGTTCGCCAATGTTGCTCTTCCTCCATTCCCTTCCATGCTTTCCCTCTAACAGTTTACTCCATGACCAGAGGCCTGGGATATATTAGCACCCAGGACCAACAACTGACAACCGGTCCTCAGTGTTGACTGCTGTGTCAGTGTCATGCTTGGTTAATTTCATCTCATCGTTAACTACAAGTTGTATCTTGGGTGACAGTTTTTTTGCTTCCTCTGGAGTATAGATAAAAATCTTCCTCACCATGCTGCAAAACTCACTGCAATATAAGTTCACAGATAAACATCAGTCAGAAAGCAGAAATTAAAAACTTTTATGCTCTTATCAACAGCATTTATTAAAGCAGGGGGATAGCATATATGTGACCTGCAAGTCCAAGATTTTACCGTTTATGAATTATTACAGGTGCAAGACTGGAGATTAGAATAGAAAAAGGCTCATATACAAAACTCTTGTTCATCCATTGTGCATAAACAAACATCAGAGTTATTACTAGATTGTTATACAAGATATTAGCAGGACCATGGATCAGTGGAGCAGAAAAGAAAGAGTAAGAACAGGGATCAAAAAGTTATCAAAAACCAACTCTGAAAGACTTACTGCCATGGATCATCCCCGATCATCATGATGTCGTCTTCATCATCAGTGTAAACAACCTGCCATTTCTTAGTGGATCCACAAAGCTGACCTTCAATATCAAACATCTCCTCAAATTTTTTTAGCAAGTCCTCATAACAATCAAATCTTGTCAAATCGACACCTCTTCCAACGGCCATACCTTGCATATGCACCTGCAAAATGATGCATCTTTTCAACAAGATTATCTAACTTGTATAAGCAGGGTCATATCTGCTTCTACATCAGAAGGCAAAGAATAAACCCCTCACTCTAACCATTGAAAGCAGAAAAGCCATTTCATAAAGTACTGAAGTACACATATAGAAGACGTAGATAAAGGACGGGAAACCAGTAAGAAGGGAAGAAATCAAAACAAAGGAAATTAGAAAAATGGAAATTGAATCACCTTTGTGCAGCTTCGAATTTGTCTGCTTTGTGACTCCTGAGGAGATCGTTGGTATGACTTCTCCAGATCACAACTTACAGAAGGAAAATCAGATCGATTTAGATTTGACGGTTCAGAGTTCTGGTCAGTGTCAGCATCTGGCTGGTCATCAGCTGCAGTGATTGCAACCATTTGTGAAACTTCATCACAGTTATTATTGTTAAGTAATTGAATGCCAAAAAGCCTGTAGCCATTCCCAGTGCCCTGATGCCTTGCACTAGTTTCTTTGTTAACAAAAGGTACAAAAGACTCTTTTACACTTTCAACACGGGTAGACCAATACATGGAGCTGCTAGACACCACAGGCAATCCTCCATCCCCACTAAAACCTATGGAGTTAGCCTTTGCAGCCTGGGAGAATTTAGGTGATGGATAGAGGTCCTGTCCTCGCTGAGAGTCGCAGTTTGATAAAGCAGGAAATTCAGGTGAAGACTTCCACATTCCTAATGCAGAAAACTCAAAAAGGGTAAAATTAAAAATTCTGAAGCAAGTACCATGCAGAAAACATACAGAAATTATGTTATACCGAGTGCAGAAAGGTCTGTAGTTGGTGAAGGTAAAACAGGTGGTCGTGCTCGCTTGTTCCTCTGTGCAGACTGTGAAGTTGAAGTAGTATTAGTTGCAGCCAGAGGCTCCAATTCCCATGCAGACACTCTTTCTGGACGTACAATCGATGAAGGTTCATCCCACTGAACCTGGTATTGGAAAAAAAACAGCTTCAGAACACAAATACAAGAGTAACACTTGAAACACGGAAATACCAAAAGATAAGAATGAAGCCAAGCAAAATCATATGCAGTGGTAAGTTATTATCGAGGGACATCCAAGCAACACCAATGAAAAGCATTTCTTAGAAACTAAGACCACAAAAGGAGATTATTTCTGCTCAAAGGCAAACTCCAACAGCTTGATGCAAAACTTCTAACTTGAAGTTCTCCTGTTGAATTTTTGAAATCATTGGAACATGAGGGAGGGTTGATGGAATGGTGTTTGTCCCCATTGTACTTGCATTGGCCTTAATATTACTATCAAATAAAAAAGAAGATAATTTATTTGACCTTTAGAGTTCTCCACTCAGAGTCAGCCCATCCAGATGCATTATTATCCCCATAACCAACAATAGTGCCACTAAACCTGTAGATGAGAAAAGATACAGATTAACAAGCATAAACAACTGCCTATTCGAAGTTCCTGAAAGAAAATACTACTTGGAATTTTGAATCTAAACATAGATTTAGTAGAATAGTAGAATGATTTTTGATGTCCTCATCTAGCTAATCTAAACCAAAACTCACATAAACGTTATCGGGACTAGAAGAGATGCAACTTTGTTCCAGACAAAGAAATTGAAGCATTCGTGAATCACCTTAGCGACCAAATCAGCAAATTCTTTCGCATTAGGCACAGTAGCTGAGAGAAACACAAATCTAGAGTTTTTTGGTGCCATGACAATACTCTCTTCCCACACGACACGTCTATCTCTATCACGCATGTAGTGCACCTCACCAAAAATAACCCAAGCGACATCCCGGATGATCTCAGATTCTCTGTAAAGCATACCACGCCAGAATTCAGTGGTCATTACCTGAAAAACAAACCATCTCCAAGGAGACCATAAAACAAAACACACACATATTAAGAAAGTTGCAAAGAGACTTACCAAGCACGAAGCATTGGGCTCAATTGTTACATCCCCCCGTCATCAAACCAACATCGGAAAACTATTCTTTAAACTCCCTAAACTTTTGGTTGCTGAGTGCTTTAATTGGTGAAGTACATATAACCCGCTGCTTATTCTGCAGAGACATAGCAATGGCATAGCATGCCACTACAGTTTTCCCAAATAACACAAAGACAAACAAGCAAAAAGCACAGAGCATTCCCAAGAACCTAAGAAATATTGAAAAGGAAAATCAGAATCCAAAAAGAACCCATGAAACAAAATGGGTTTCTAATCCAACCCATCTCAAAACATCAACAGACTCAACCCCAGAACAAACAGAAAAAACCATATCATTCATACCTTCACTCCACCAGAAAAAAGACACGCCTTTTCTCCAACACAGAGCTCGAAGAAATGGTCTCTTATACCACTAGAAATACAGAGAGTCCACAGTCAAGATGGTTTCAATGGAGTCCTTGACTCAGATTTAGGTTATATTTGGATAAAAATTAGTAAAGGAAAAGAAGGGGAGGAAAGGGGAAGGAAAGTGAGGTGCTCCCTTCCCCTTTACTCTCCGTCGCTTCTCTTCCAACAACCCCGATCTAAACGGAGTGTCATAGACGAGGAGGGTATAACAGAGGGAATGGGTACGCTTTTTGTTCCGTATTTTACTGCTTGGGACGCTTTCTCTCCCTTTTTTTCCTTTTTTTTTTTTTTACTAATTTTTTATTTCTAAAAACCACGTTTTGCCACACTAATATGTAATCGAGTCGGGTCATAATCCATGTAGGGAAACATTCCCAGCACTTATTTTTATTTTTTTTATTTATAAGATTTGAATTCAAAATTTTATTTTAAGAGAATTGAACTCTACTCGGACCAACAAATTGTTGATTTTTTTTCTTTTTTTTTTCTACAGTACATTTTCATTTTGCGTCATTTAATTTGCACTTTGAATTTATATTATATTATATTATAAAATAAAGAATTTATTTTTTATTTAATACTTGATTACAAGATATTTTATAATTTAATATATGTAAATTACTGAAAATTTTTTTTTTTTTTTTTTGAAAGCATCTTTTAAAAAAAAAAAACTCACACTTGTGATATAGCCGCTTTTGCGTTTAATAGCGTTTTCAAATGAATCTTTTGGGGAGTATTTTATCTTTTTTTTACTTTGGGATATTCCTTGTGACTGTTTATCTGCTCGTGAATTTTTAGTAATTTTTTTGGCCACATATTTCTCTTGTATCTGATCTCGTAAAATATTGTGGAGTATATCCTTTTAATTTTTCTGAAATATTCCCTAATTTTTTTTGTTAAATAAATACTCAGTTTACCTTTAAGTATCTACCTGAAAATCTTGTAGTGACTTGTCAAATTGAGAAGGTTTTTTTTTTTCTTTTCTTTTCTTTTATTTTTCTTGTTTTGAACGTCAGTTATACTTTAATTTTAAGTAAGCCAAAGTAACGTAATCGTACACACTCATTATTGGTTTTAATGCATCCAAAATAGTTTTCGTTGAATTGTTGGTGAAATTTGGTTTAGAGAAATATACTTGTATGCACTCTAGACAAAATGATTGTTTAGAATATTTCTATTTATTCAATATAGTACCATGCGCAAAAAAAACCTCCATACTTAATTTAATATTAGTATTTCCCAAATCAGTTTAAATTCTAATTGTTTTTATTTTTTTTCCATAATAAACCTCCATACTTCATTTTTAAAAATCTAACAATGAAGATTGAAAAGGTAAATTTAAAGAGAAATAAAAATTAGAACTTTCTAAATTTTAAAATGATGAACTGTTTATCAAATTATTTAATACCTTTAATATGAAGTAAATATTTTTTATTATATTAATTTATTAAAAATATTTAACTCTTTTCATTATCATTTTAGATATTTTAATTGTCACCAATACCATACATTAATTTTCCAGAATCCCCAAACAAAAAAACTAAAGAGTAGGCTTTTTCTTTTTCTTTTTTTTTTTTTTCTTTTATATATTTGAACTACTAGTATAATTGAAAGATAAAGACTGAAATTATTATAGTTTAAATTTTAGACTTTTAAATACAATTTTTTTTAAAAGAATTGTGATTATTAGATCACAATAAATTATACCATTTTAACTTACACTCAAAAAAGAAGAAAAGTCCTTAATGAAGGGAGGATTCTGACTTTAGTTTTTGAATGTTAAAAGTAAGATTTGGACCCTATATCTTTAAATCTTAACATAAAAAACCCTTAATAAAAGAAATGTGACAACAAAATCATTAGTGGTTTGTTTGGAAACATGAATTTAATAGGGTGTATTTGAATTTCAACACCTCAAATTCAATTTCTCTGTTTGTTTTCATATAAATAGAATGTAATTAAATTTGAATAGAAATACATGTATTTCATTTGGGTATTTGAAAAGACAAAAAATTGTGTATTTCAAATTCATTCTATAACCCATGAATTTCAATTTCAAACTCTGCATTCTCTCCGCACATGGACCGTGATGAAGCCTCCATCTTGACTTCCGTTCATCGTCGACTCTGCTGGAAATTAAACGGATCTTTGTAGCTTGTCAGGCCTGAAGATCGAAATTGGAACGTTAAAGCTTTGATTTGACATCTTGACTTCCGTTCTTGTATATTTTTTTTTATTTTTTAAATCTTTTTTATTTAATTTAAAATTTAAATATAAAGTTTTGATTTGATTATTAAAAAAACATATGTTATGTTTTTTATTAAATAATTTTTATTTTATAATTTAATATAATTTAAATTAAAAAATAAATAATGAAGTAACTATTCATGTAGAAGATAAGTTTTAGTTGACATCAGCATGATTTTTATTTTATTTTATTTTTACCTATATAATTATATTCAATGCGGTTGTTAATAATCTTATCAAATTCATGCTTGTTTTAGTTGAGATTCAAAATATATAAAGATGTCGATAGATAAATAGATTATATAACTTATGCTTTGATAAATGAAAACAAAATTACCCAACTTTTTTTTTTTTTAAGTTTGGAATATCTAATTTTTAATTTGATTTTAACTTAAAGAAAAAAAAATA